TTGGGAATAAACACCTGAATAAATAGGACTCAGCATGTATGGCAGAGTGCATACGGTTTGGTGGGGGATAGGGGGAGGCATTGATGGGGGAAGGGGTCTGGATTTGAGAAGGAAATGTATGAAACTTTAAAAGCTCAATTAAAAATTTTTTTAAAAGAAAGACAGACATCACATCATCATTCCAGAAACTACATTCCTGCTCCTCTGCCCTTCGTCTTCCAGTCAGGCAGCACCTCTACCATTACCAGGTAAGTTCTCTTCTGATTTATATTATCCTATTCTTAGATGTTCTTTAAAAGTTATTTATAAAATTGTACTGCTTATGCAAACATATCATATGAAGTTTTGTTTGAGTATTAAATAAATATTTGATTAAAATTGTCAGAAAAAAGAGTAAATATTTTCTGTGTGATGATAGAAGGTTATGAATGTTGTGTTGTTATATGGGAAAAATAGACAGGAAGTAGGTACTATGCAAAATGATTATGCATGAATATAAATACTATATATGTGTATATAATATAAATCAGTGAATAAATATGTATAATTAGTATAAATACATAGAATTATATTAACTGCATCTGGAAGATTCCATGTGTGATTAGTAAGTCATTGCCCATTTGGAAGAAATTGATACATCTGAGACATGGATAAGGGAGCAGATACTTTATTTCATTTTTTTAATATTTTATTTATTATTTTATGTATATGCATGTATTGTCTGCATATAGGTAAGTGCACATGTATCATGCAATGCCCATGGAGGACAGAAGAGGCTGTCGGATCCCCTGGGACTGATATTTTGTACAGTTGTTATCTGCCATGTGGGTGCTGGAAATCGAATCCCAGTCTTCTGCAAGAACAGTCAGTGTTCTTAACCTCTGAGACATTTCTCTAGCCCCAAGTGAGCAGATACTTCCTCAAATAAATTTTGTAAGATAACTTTAATTAAAATTTTTAAATGACTAACTGTAAACCTGCTAGTACTTTAAAAATTTACTTTTTTATTTAAAAAAGAATTTAAATCTATGATCTTTTTTCTTCATCTTCCTCAAATCTTCTCCCATATTGTGATATAGTCCACAATCAGAGAATATTTTCCACACATCTGCAACTGTTTTCTAATAAAACATCTGTAGTAAATGATGATATATATATACATATACAATAAAATTTGTTTATTTTCTATGTATAATTTACTGGCTTTTAAATATATGTATTAAGTTTGAAAATGATTACAAAAAATCAACTTTAAAACATTCTATCATTTCTCCCAATTTCCTCATTATCCATATTCTTTCCCAATGGTTTTTCTTTCTAATTTTGTGAAAATTTTACTGAACTTTTGTACATTTCATACAGCAGTTCTCAATCAAATTTACACACCCTCCCCCGACACACCCCTGACAGTTTCATACATGATTACTGTATTTTCATCATTTTTATCAATCCCCATCTTTCTCCAACTCTTTGTATATCCCTCTGCTACACCCTCTCAATTTTTGACCTCTTCCTTAGTAATTATTTTTACATAGTGCTTTTTATGTTTAGTTCATGAATACATATTGCCTATTCAAAAGTTAAAATGTTTAAACATATTTTAAAACGACTGAAGCAAAAATGTTATGTACTGAGGCTGTTTCATTCAATATTTTACAAACATAGCAAATGTAAAAAGAATAATGATTTACACAGCAAAATAACTGTGTTCTCAATGTTCTTTGAGTACACATTGTCTAATATTTTGGTGATAGGTTAATGCAATCTAACAATATACTACATACTTCATACAGACACAACTGCTTAATAAAATACAAAACAGATATTTAGCCTCAATTCATTTTAACTCACAAGGCATTTGCATAAAATGCAGTGAGATGAAAATAAGTCACACAAAGAGATTAGGGCTATGGATGTAGCTCAGTTGATGGAGTTGATACTTAGAATGCTTGATGATCTGGATTCAATCCCTGAACCACAAAAACTCGGTGTGGCTATTCATAAATGTAATTCTAGCATTCAGGAGGTAGAGACAAGAGGATCAGGAATTCAAGTTCATTCTCAGCTACATATTGCATTTCAGGCCTGGGTTACATGACAATCTGTCTCCAAAATAAGTATATGTCTCCATATATATACTGATGAAAGATTTCCTTATTGCTTGCTTTTTCCCACACTCCTTAAATATCCCATGCTATAGTTGATTAAAACACCACTTGCTCTCTGTGCTCACCGTCCTGAGTACCATCCTCATCATTTCACAAGAGATCATGAAGTAAGTAAAACAACACTGTATTACTGTAGAGACATATACATTTTTCTTGTTAGGCATCCAGATTTATGGAACATTTTCTTCTTATGTGCATCCTGGCAGAAGGCATCAGGTCTCTTCCATGCCCTTTTACAGTAATATGAAACATTACAAAAGTTCTATGTTTCCTTCACAATTCTTTCATTTTTCCCTCAGTTTTTAATAGGATTTTCAATGAGTTTAAAAAAACTGACTACCTCTATAGAAAACTCATTTAATTATTTTTTTCATGTACAGAACAGGATAAGGAATGGACACCTGAATGTGTCAGATGTACAGATCCTCAAATTAATTTTTTCTTGTAAGACAGAAATGAGAGAAGTAAGTTTACACATTGAAAGAAAGAAAATCTAATTGGGTAAAATTCATAATATATACTCATATAAAAATGGGAATGAAAATAGAAATAAGCATAGGTATACACTATACTGTTCAGCTATATACCTATATACTGTTTGTTTTTAAGAGAGGTAAGAATGTCCTTTGCAAAAGGGGATCCTGGTATGTAGCAAGAGAAAGCAAGACTTGATGTTGCAAGTACCATTGTGTTCTGGAAGCACAAATATAGTGAAATGCTTTTAAAAACAATACTAGACACATTCCGCAGGCCAGAGGTAGGTGGGTGACACGTTGAATTCGATTTATGATAGAATACCCATCCATTTTGTATAGACATTAAAGGAACTGAGTTTGAGAAACATCCTCAAACATCCATCAGAGCAGGTCATTAGTCCATTAAGTTAACAATGTCCACAACTTGACATTCTCTCTTTTTTAAAATATTTTATTTTTTATTTTTATTTTATCTGTATGAGTATATAGCCTGCAAGTAGCTAAGTGCACTCATGTCCTGCAATGACTGCAGAGGACAGAAGAGGCTGTCAGATCCCCTGGAACTGGAATTATGGACAGTTGTTAGCTGCCATGTGGGTGCTGGGATTCAAACCAGGGTCTTCTGCAAGAACAACCAGTGTTCTTAACTGCTGAGCCCTCTCTCCAGCCCCAAGACATTCTCTCTTTAGGAAACAAAACAAGGAAGAAATGAACTTTTCAGAAAACACCTAATTCCATGTATATCCTTGGGTAAAAAGTAGACATGTAAGAAAGAAAAATACAGTGAGGTCTCCATCTCATATGGGAACCAAGACCAGGTTAGAAAATATTTAGGACTGTGTAGAAGAAGAATTCTATACAGTTACATTTTGAGCTAAAGAAAGATACTACAGTAGCTCTCTTCCCTCCACTATAAAGATGAGCAGAAGGAAAGATGCATGATAGATGGAAAGTGACAAGAAGGAAATGGAGACAACGGCCACACTGATGGGGTTGAGGCACAGGGGAGCCACACACTTCACTCAGTGTTTCAGTTTCTTCAGGGTTCTCTGCACAGCAAGTTTGATGTCCTTGTTCCTGAGGCTGTAAATGAGAGGGTTGACCATGGGTACCACAAGAGTGTAAAACACAGAAAAAAATTTCTGCTTGTCTACTGATTCAGCAGATGATGGTTGGATATGAGTGAGCAGCCCCGACCCATAGAATAAACTAACAGTTATTATGTGTGATCCACAGGTGCCCATAGCTTTGAACCAACCCTTAGATGATGGCATACGAACAATATTACAAAGGATCAATGCATATGAGGTTAAGATAAAGAGGCTGGATACAATGACTACTGTAGTGACAAGAACAGCACTCACAAGCTCATCGACGTAGGTGTAGGTGCTGCTGCAGGAGAGCTGGATTAGGGGGAAGATGTCACACATGTAGTGGTTGATGATGTTGGAATCACAAAAGTGGAGTCTGATCATGCACCCAGTGTGGGCCATAGCACCAGCAAAGCCCATCAAGTATGAACAAAACATCAGCAGGGAACAGATCCTAGGAGACATGACAAACATGTACAGCAGAGGCTGGCAGATGGCCACATAGCGATCATAGGCCATGGCTGTCAGCACATAACTCTCGGAGTTAACAAAGAAACAGAAGAAAAACAGCTGAGTCATGCATCCTGTGAAGGAGATGGTGTTCTTCGTTAAAACAAAACTCATCAGCATTTTGGGGGTAAAGACACAGGAATAACAGAAATCAATGCAAGACAAATTGAAAAGAAAAAAGTACATGGGAGTGTGCAGGTGAGAATTCAGGCAAATAAGATTCATTAAGGTCAAGTTTCCCATCAGTGTGACCACATAGTTCACCAAGAACAGGACAAACAGGGGCAGCTGGAGTTCAGGTTGCTCTGTCAATCCCAAAAGAATAAACTCAGTCACTGAAGAATCATTATCAATAGCTGTTTTCTTCATGGTGTCATCTGTAGAAACAGCAATCAGAGGTGACATGAGCACAGGGCTGTAATTCAGAGGGACATCTGGAGCTGTTGGTTTCCAAGTTTAAGGTTGTCTGAAGATGCACAGCATGGTCTACAAGTAGCACAGCTGTGCATGTTGATTCCTGAAGAATCCCCATTTCCTCCTTTCCCCACCATGATGTGTATCTCTGAGTACAGAGAATGCTGACAGAGCTATTAATAGCCCTGCTCATCACTTCCTCCCTTTTCCTTGATCTTTGCTAAAAATTAGGTCTGAATAGAGCAATAGGTAAGGGGCCTTATCTACACCAGCCAAATTAGATAGCTTTGAGTTTGAAAGAAAATTATTGAGACAAATGTGCTCACCTTGTTCTC